GGCCTGTGCCCCAGAAGGGATGCAATGCTGGGTGGAAGGTTCCTATTGGTCCAAATGTGCAAGGGTGGTGGGAGACAGGCGTCAAGAGCAGTTTGCCCAAGAGGTGCAGGGGACGCCTGGGTTCTCTCTTCTCAGCTCCCATGAGGGGGTCCCCCTACCCGCTCCTGTCCCTGCCCTCACTCCAGGGAGCTCATTTTCCCCTCTCAGGAAAGAGGGCTACCAGGTCTCATGCCCTCCACTTCCTTACCCTTAGGACCACTATCCCAAATCAAGTGGGATGGGACCTCTTTATTCTTTCTGTTTTATTACCATTGCCAGGCCTGAGGCCCAATGCCATCCTCTGCAGAGCATCCTCAGAACATTTCTGCGGGGCCCCTGGAAACGGAGGGACAGTTTAGGGAGAGGCCCCAGCTACGTCCCTGACGTCATCTCTTGGTCCCGTCAAGGTGGCCCCAGTGAGCTTGGCTGGGGGAGCAGAAAGAGAAAGGACCAGGGCCCTTACCTCTGGCCAGCTGCAGGCCAAGTGCGTCCCTGGCTGCTTCCTGTTCTGTTTATTGCCTCCTGTTCAGGAAATCATTGAGTGACACATCCCCCACCCCTAGCGAGATTACTTAATAGGCGCTGTGCTGTGGTCTCTCTTTTGGAAAATCCAGTGGGAGAAGGAAGCTGTCAGCTCGGCTCTGACATCAGCGTTGTCCCTGAGCCAAGAGTCAGGGTGGCCAGGGCGAGGTGGGGGGCGGGGCGGGTGGGGAGGAAACAAGTTGTTGGTGGCCCCTGTGACGTGAGGCTGCCACATGGTTCCCAGGGGCGGGGGCTGGACAACCAGGAGCAATGATTTCTGGGATGCACGCTGAAGCGCACAGAAGGACACACGGACGTGCACCCGTGCACAGAGGCACGCCTTTCCACCCTCCGGCCCTTGTGCCCAGAGACCGCTGTTCTGCACAGACTCACTCAGGCGTGAGTCTCTCTGTTTCTCCCTCTCTCAAACAACCACACAGAGAGCTCACAACGTCATCCAGGGTGTGTACAGCCTGGCTCTGTCCCAGTCACACACAGGCAGTGCAAACAAATACACCCACACGTGCACACACAGAAGGCCAGGCAGAGACGTGCAGAGACACACCTAGTGCTCACTGCACACTAAAATACAAAGTGATGTCCACTCAGACCCAGTGAGATGGACAGACAGACGGAGGCCTGCCACCAGCCCCGTGGGACTCCAAGGGTGCTTCTGGACCTGGGCCGGGCCCCTGGGAAGCTGGGCTGTGGCCACTTCCTCCTCCCACGCCTACCCCTCGGTGGGGATGAAGCCCTCCGGCTGCAGAGTGAGGAAAGGCCAGGTGGGGCAGGGGAAGGCAGGGAGCCCCGGAGCCTGAGGTGGGGAGCGGAGTGGATGGTGAGAGGCTGGGCTCTGGGAGGGCCTTTGTTACAGCGCAGGCCTCTGTCCCCACTGTGGGTACCTGCTCCATACCATCCCGTCTTGGCCTGTTGCACCTCTGGTCCATTCCTGAGTTAGAACAGGTGGTACCTGAGGTGACAGGAGGACCATAATACCAACTGCGGAGTGACCTTGGGCAAGTCACTCAGCCCCACTGGTTTTTATCACTGAGACCAGTGGCTCACAGTTTTGACTGTGACTCACAGCAAGAAACGTACTGCACCTTGCTACCGGAAGATGAACACACAGACACATAGAGACCCGGGGGAGGGGGGTGCTTCACAGAACAACGCCTGCCCTCTCTCTGTGTGATGCCAAGTGATTTTGCTGTTCCATTTCCTTTTTGAAAGTGCTGGTTCAAACTCTCTAAACTGAACCCACAATCCACTAGAAGGGAGAGACTTATAATGTGAAAACACTGCTCTCCACTTTGGCCTGTGGTGATTCAGGCTAGAGATTCAGAGGTTGTAAAAGCGCTCACCAAGTCCAAATGCCACCACCTTGAGGCACTGTGAGCAAGGAAGACAGTGACCCATCCTACAGGTGGAGATGCCCAGGGCAGAGCCCAGGCTGGGTGACACTTGGGCCCTACGCAGTGCCATGGTCAGCTGTCTGCTCTGCTGATGAGCGGGCTCTGTGGGTTGCTGCTTCCCTTGCAATTTCTATCACAAATGAAGAAAAAAAAAATGCAGTCACTCTGATTCACCTCCAGGGGGTTGATTCCTGACGCAGAACCAGTCGGGAAATGTCAGGGTGATGCTGGGGGCAGCTGGCAGGAGGCCAGAGTGGCTTCTGGCTCCTCTGTGGCCCTGGGGAGCATTGCTGGTCACTGCCAGAGATTTGGTGGGGTGAGGGCAGGAAGGGGCAGATTACAGGCTCAGTGTGTCTGGGCTTCCAGGGCCATGGGGTGGGGGTGGGGGTAATGTGTTATCTTTGCTGAGGGTGAGAAGCCCTTGGATGCTCCAGGACCCGCACCAAGCTCTGGGTGCTGGGAGGACCCCGAGGCCACTCCCTGCCCATCTCTCAGACCTCTCTGCATCCACCTCTGCACCCAGGCCTGCCCCAAGCCCCTGACTTGGGATGTGGTTTAAGTCTACATGTCCGGCAGTTTATCTGCATTTCCCAGCTAATGTCCCCAGGGCAACCTCATTTGGTGCTGAGGCATCCTCATTATCAGATCAAATAGGGGCTCAGAGAGAAGTCAGTTGCCCAGGGCCAGAGAACCGGTTTGTGGTGTGAGCAGGATTTGAACCCAAGTCTGCTTCGGTATAAGGCTATACCCTTACTCACCTGGCACTACGGCCAGCCCAGCCCTGCTCTGCCCAAAGCTGATCCACCAACTCCAGGTATCCAGATAGCTCCGTGGTGCTGTAGGGTGGAGGCTGGGGCCACAGGTGGTTATGCCCTCACTTCTCAAGTATCCAATAATGAGGTATTTTTGCCTTTTTGGACAGGACACCAAATTGCCAGGGCTTGCCAGGAATTCCTGAGTTTCTCCTGTCTCCTCTGGTACCTGTCCCCAGCCTTGATCTTGGGAAACACTCTCTGGCTACCAAGTCCTCAGCCCCTCAAGCGCATCTGAGAACTCTGTGCTCCTTTCCTAGGTGGAAATATCCGGGCCAGGGGTTAGGGCTGGTCTAGGTTTCAGAGAACTGAGATCACAGCTGGGCAGGAGGGAGGGGAGGGGGGAGGAATGAGGGGGGCTGGCTTGGGCAGTGGGGGTTACTCTGTATCTGGGTCACTGGTCTTGGGGAATTCCCGATGCCCAGAGAACTGCTTACCTGCTGAGTAACGGCTGCTGGCTGCCCACACAGGATGCCTGGCTGAGAGGGTAACTCCCTGCCACCCCCTGTCAGTAACTACTGCCATGCAGCCTTCTCTTGAGTGCCCTGGGGGCCCAGGAAAGAGACAGACAGGCAGGGGGGGCTGGCCCTGCCCCCATATCCTGAGGGGGGCTCTGCAGGGGGCGGCTGGTGATTCAAGCCCCTCAGAGCTGAGCTATGTCCCCATCCTTCTCAGATGGGGCCTGGGGGTGAATCAGCTACTGGGGGTGGCTAGGCCGGGTCAGCAGCTGCCCCAGCTCAGGGCTTGTGGGGGAGCACAAAGACAGCCAGCACACTGCCATGCCAACCCCACCTGATCTGTCCACAGCTCCCCTGAAGCTGGAGGCTGTGCAGTACAGAGATGTGCCTTCTCCCTCCCATTTTCGCACTTAGCCCCGGGCCAAAGTTTCCTCATCTGTAAAATGGTGACAAGAATCCTTCCTCCCCAGGGAAGTCAACACAATCCACGCTGGGACGGAGAAGGCTTGCTGGGTGCCTGGAACCACGCTGAACCCTGGGCCCTCCCAGCAAACCCACTGCTTAGCCACCATCCTTCCCATTCTACAGATGAAGAAACAGGCCAGCAGCTGTCCACTTCCCCCAAAGATACACAGCTCACAACCGGCAGAGCCAAACCTCCAACGTGGTTATGAATGAGGCCAAAGTCCGAGCTTCAAACCACCAGCCTTCCACACCTCCTTTCCAGGAGAGATTTGGCTTGCACAGCTTTTGGAAAGTATAAAATGCTTTCAAAAAATACTTAGCATCTACTCTGGATATCACCCCAAACAGTTGCTGCTAAGAGTCCAGATGACTAGCAGACCCCATCCAAGCCCACAGAGAGTGAGGAATAAGATAGTTCTGGTGACTTGAAGCGCAGGCCAGCAGAACAGATGAGGGCTGAAGGGGCTGCTGGAAGGGCCTCCCCGCCCCCAAAGATCGATGTGCTGCTGCACTTGCCGGGCACCTTGCAAGCCAGAGGCTTGGGTTCTGGGTCTGCCTCTACTGCCGATTCTTTGGGTGGCCTTGATTAAGTTCCTTTGCCTCCTGAACCTCAGTTTCCCCATGTGAAAAATAAGCAGCTGTTACATTCTAAGAGACATTCTAAGAGAGAACTGAGTATACTGGGTGAAAATCAGCAGAAAAAGCCAGCTGGTCGGCTACATGTGCCAAAGGGCATATGAGAGAAGCCGACTTGCTCTCTGCATGGAGATGGGACAGTACCCCAGGCCCTGCCCAGACTGAGGGGGTCCTATGTGGGCCCTGACTATCCCCTTCACCCAGGGGGTGGTCAAATCCATAGCAGGCCTAGTCTGCAGGAGCAAGAGAGGCTGCGGATGAAGTCACAGCTGGAAGGGGCCAGGCTGGGGCTGCCACTCCAGGGTGGGGTCCAGGTCATGACCCTGGAAGCAGGCAGCCAATAAGGGAGGATGTCTTCCGTGAGGGAGCAGGGGGAAAACACATGTGTACACACACACACACACACACACACACACACACACACACACCAGCAGAAAAGAGGGAGGGAAGAAAACAAACTCCGGCTGCAGCCACGTTGCAGGCTCTTCTCGGACACTCGACTCCAAGACCTTGTCCGGCTTCTCCCCAAAGGCCCAGCGCAGGTGGTCCCCTGACATGGACAGGAGGGGGAGGCTGGGCCTGGGGTGCCAAGGAGCCCAGAGCACTTGGGGAGCATGGATGAAGTCAGGTATCGTGAAAGGGAAAACTGAGGCACGGGAGGGTGCCAGTCAGCGCTCCGAATCTTTCAGACCCTGTTCCCATTTCCTGGGGGTAGGGCTGAGGTTAAATGGCGACTGGGGGGGTGAACTGTAGGGCTAAAGAGAGGTCTGAGGACTCACGGGGCAGTGTAAGGTTTGGAGGTCCCCTGAGAAGGATGCAGGGCTGACCCTCGGCAAAGGGGAACAAGTTGTAGCTTCTAGGAGCTTGGGAGCACCTACTGCAAGGCTCAGGTTAGAGGGACAGGGTGGATACACAGATGGTGGCCACAGTGCAGCTCTGGTCAGGTGAATTTGGCATCCAGGTTTAAGTGAGCCCGGCGGGGAGCGTGGGGGTGGGACTAGAGGCTGATCCAGAATTCCTGCACTCTGAGTGGTCGCGTCAGATCACGGTGGGGGTGAGTGTGCTAGGATGTGGGGGTGCTGAACCCTAGGGCAGGGGAACAAGAAGAGTAAGCAGCAGATGGGGCCCTCCACGGCACCCCAAGAAAGAGACAAAGTGTGTTGGGAGAGTGCCAGACTGGCTGTCCTTCCTCCTCCTGCTGGGAAGTACCAGCTGGGAAGGGCAATTTTATCACTTCACATGCGAGGTTGTGCCAGGAGGCCATGGAGGAGCCCGGCTAGGGCATGGAGTGTGTGAAGGAGGGGACAGCAGCGGCACAAGGGCTCATCTGGGCAGGGCTGGGGGAGGAGCTGGGCAGGTCCAGGATATGAGTAGAGCTGGGAGTTGAGAGCTTAGAGAATGGGTAAGACGGTAGACAAGGGTTAGGCAAGGCTGCGGGAACTCCGTGGACTTGAAAAATCAATTCTCCATCCTGGATCTTGGGCCAGGGTCAGCCAGGGCGGTTGGGATGGTGTCCTCAAGGTAACGAGACAGCTCTTGGTATAGAGGGACCCGGTAGCTTTAGGGACAGCATGGCTCCAGATGTATTATGCTGTCTTATTTTTTTTTATTCTGCTCTTTATTGAGGAGGAGTCTCTCTGCTCTTTTGGCTCTAGTCCCTACCATGCTTTACTGCCCCTCAAGTACTCGCCAATCTACTTGCCCGTAGTGGACACCAGAACTGTCTCAGAGACTCCAGAAGCACATTTTGGAAGCTGCCATCATGTTCTGAGGCTGACCTCCACGGGGTTTTCTAGGGGGTTCTAGGGCGCCTGCTATTTCTGTTTCCCCGGACACCCTTTGCCATCCTAAGGAAGAAGCCTGGGTGTGATTTTGCCAAACATCCCTTGGTCTGTGCTTCAGGTGACCCTTTCAGAATGGTAATGCTGAACGGTCTTTCGCAGAGCTCCTCCCCACACTCTCCTCCAAAAGCAGGTCATAGCCCCCCCCCAATATCTTCCTAGCTCCTTCCCCAACCTCATAGATATGGGTGGTCAGCAGAGCAGGTGTACTGATGGCGGTCAGGGGCCTGACTTTCTGGGACCCCTGTGTGTGTTCCCTTTGGAGCCCCTCTTTGGTCAGTGGCAACGGGCAGGTTGGAGAAGGCCACCTCTTAGGTGGCTTCTAGCGCCCACGTTCAGTTCTGCTTTATTACTGTCTAAAGTCCAAGCCAGGCTCCAGCCCCTCTTCCTGGAACCTTCTTCTCAGCCAAGCCTCAGCCGGTGTCCTCCCACTGACCCCTAAAGCCCCCCATCAGGGACCACAAGCGTCAGCCTCCACCTGCCGGTCCAGTCTTGCTACCTCCCCCAACCCAGGTGAGTCAGGGCCACCTGGGCTGCCCCCGGTTGGAGGGACCCCCACTGAGGCCCTGGGGCCCCATCCCCAGCAGGCCCATCTTCAAACGGCGCCCAGGGCAAGCCTCTCAGGAAAACCACAGGGCGTTCATTCTTTTGACGACTTCATTATAATTTTATCAATCAAATTCTTAGAAGAGGGAAAAAAATCTGCCCTCCCCACCCTCCTCCCTCACTTGTCCCACCCCCCTTCACTCTCACTTTCTTCCATTCATAATTTCCTATGATGCACCTCAAACAACTTCCTGGACCGGGGATCCCGGCTAAATATAGCTGTTTCTCTGTCTTACAACACAGGCTCCAGTATATAAATCAGGCAAATTCCCCATCTGAGCATGAACCTCTGAAAACGGCCGGCATCTCAGGTCTCCTCCAAGGCCCTCTGGAGTCCATTCCATAATGAAGGTCTTGGCAGCAGGTAAAGCCACCCGGCCCGCGCCGGCTTCCGCGTCCCCGCGGCGGGCGCGGCGGAGCTTGGGGCGCTCGGCGAGCACCGGCGGG